ATTAACTTAGTCAATAAATAGTATAATCTCTAATAAAAATTAATCAATATGTTATAACAAAAATATAATAAATACAATAAGTACAATAAATTAAATTTAAAAATTTCAATAAATAATTACTAAGATACAATAAATATTAGTTTTTAGTATATATAATTATATAATAAATACAAATTAAGAGTTTAAAATTATTATAAATAAATATTATTTTTTGAAAGTTATTTTCTTGAATTATTACTTGATATAATTAAAATTAGTTATTTACAATATTATGTAAAAATATTAAATTATTATTAATTTCAATATTATATTATAATTATTTTTCTAATTTTCAAGTTTTTTTTTAAATTTATTACATAATTTCTTTACTTTAAGTATTTAAAATCTAGTTATGGTAAATAAATTGTTATTTAAAATATTTATTTATTTAAATACTTAAATAATATGTAAAATATTTAAATTTTAAAGTATTAATTATTTATTGAATTTAATTATCCATAAAAACATAATTTATACTAATTTTACATATTTTCATTATTAATTTTGTAATATATTAAATTATTATTAATTTCAATATTATGTTATAATTATTTTTCTACTTTGAAGAATTTTTTTAAATTTATTATATAATTTCGTTATTTTAACTATTTAAAATCTAGTTATGATAAATATTTAAATAATCTATAAAATATTTAAATTTTTTTGTTATTTGAATTTTATTTATTTAAAGCTATTACATATTATTAAATATTTGAAAAACATTTAAATTATCAATCCGGAAAAAATAATTTAAATTGTTAGTACATAATTACGTGATATATTTTGTAAAAATATAAAATTATTTTTTATGTTTTTAACAAATATTTTAAAGTTATTATATAATTTTGTTAGAATATTTAAATAATTCTTAAATTTTTTTAATCCAAACTTTTCTTTAGATAGATATAGATAAAAAGTAGGAGAGGATAAATAGGAATTAGAAATAATTTAGGAGAGAAACTCTCTACTAAATTAGAGATAATTTTGGAGATAAATAGGAATTAGAGATAATTTAGAAGATAAGTAGGAATTAGAGATAATTTTGGAGAAAGTGGGGGGTAGTGGGAGAGGTAGTTTAAGAGAAATTTTAGGAGAAGAGAGTATTTAGGTTATTGGGAAAGTGCATCTCATTGGGCAGTTTAAAAAATGACATGGAATAAAAAAAAAAAAAGAAAAAATTTCTTGACCGTTTTATTTTAATTTATATATATAGAGAGAGAGAAAAGAGAGAATCAAATTTGAAGCAAAAGTAAATCAGGCACTCTCCTGCTTTTACACCGGTGCAAATGAAATTTGTATTGCAACCACGTAATGTCACAAGATAAAGCTATGCTCCTCAAATATAGTTTAATATAACTGAGTGGCTTCAGCTGGTGTAGAAGCTAGCTGGTGCACAACATCATTAGCATTTTTAGAACAATGAGATATTGCGTAAGAGTTGAAGTGACAGAATAAACTTATAGTTGGCAATATTAGTTCTAACGCACCACAGCCACGGGGGTTCAAGACTCCCCAGACGCCAGTAGAAGTTTCACATCACAATCTTGATGGTAGGGGTGTTTTATTTTATGGTACATGTTTCGAACCATTTTGGCCACCGGATCTCGGGTCAGATGGTCTGACCGTTTGGTCCAAACTCGAATCGGACCGTTTTGGGTCCAAAACTGGAACTGGTATAGACTATCAAGCTGCACTGAACCAAACCAAAATTGATGGTTTGGTCTAATTTGGACTTAGAACGGTTTAATTTGGTTTTAGAATTCCTCAAGTTGTACTGATTTGAAACGGTTTAGTTTGGTTTGAGAAGTTATCAAATCGTAAATTTTCAATTTGGTCTGATTTTCTAAATTGGGGTTTTTATTGTTCAGTCCACTTTATAGACTTTAGTACAGTTGGAACCATGGTTTTCAAAACTGGATAGGATTGGACGGTCGGACCGGAAAACCCAGGAACCGGTTCTATTTCCCCCAAAACTGGATTTTCTCAAAAAACGTTGATTTTGGTCAGCAAACCGCTGACCCAGGCAATTAACCGTTCGAACCGTTCAAACGGTTTTGACTGGTTTTCATTTTTTTAATTTTTTTTGTCATAACGGGTCAACCGTTCGACTCAGTAACCAGACCCCTGACCAGTTCGGTCTCCAGATCGGTTTTAAAAACCATGATTGGAATAATAACATGTGGGGGAATGAATCAAAATTCAGGGGGTAGTGAATTATAAGTGGAGTTGTTGGTAAATAAAACCCAAAAACCTAATAAAAATTCCTGAGGTGGACTCTAAATTTCTTTTTTTAAAAACCAATCCAAACCTTAAATCATTTTAAACTGAATTATTAATAATAATATATATATATATATATATTTATTTATTTAAACATATATATATATTCATTTAACATTATATATAAATCATTTTAAACTGAATTATTAATAATATATATATATATTTATTTATTTAAACATATGTATATATTCATTTAACATTATATACATATGATTGTATGTTTCAATTTTTAATTTGTACTTTGATGTTCAATGAGCCGTATGCCTTTGAGAAAGTGTAAATATAGTTTATATAATAGTAATAGGTGACATTTGTTAACATTTTAATTTGATATTTGAATTATATTTATTATTTATGCAGGTATGCATGCCTTTGAGAAATCGTAAAATAATTCAAATTATAATAGAACGATTTGGTCTGAAAATTTTTCAAACGATAATTTACTAGTTTAGTGTGAGATGTTTTCCAAACCATATTGTGAACACCCTACTTGATGGATATGAGAACTAAATTCCCAAGACATGGTAAGTCCTGACAATTCACTTCTGCTCATTTAACATTTATTTATTCAGTCCATGCATTAGGAATATCTGAACCTGGATGAACTGGGCATGGATCTCACCTAAGGTGAGACCGTGAGAGGAGTTGGTTCGATGAGATTTGTTTCCGAACTCTTTTTACCTTGTCCATAGTTGAGATAATCCTACATCAAACTCTCTAAAATAATAATAATCCACAAAGTACAAATAGCAAATAGAGGCTTAGGCCGCATTTTGGGGAGTGCTTATCTAATAGGTTTTTGGGGATTTTCACGTAGAAAAGTTAAAAAGCCAGTCAATAAATTGTTTGGTGAAAAAGCTTGATATGGGTTGTTGCATCTTAAAATTTTGAAAGAAACCCTTTGTGTCTTTCATTTTTTTTGGGCAAAAAGGTTTAGCTTTTGCTTACATTTGTGGAAAGGATTCATCCAAACAATAAAAAAGTGCTTTTTCCAAAAGTAGTTTTTTCAAGAAGTTCATTTAAAGAAAAGGATAAACTACAAAGACCCCCTTACTGTGAGGTCAATGACAATTACACCCCTAAACTTTCATTTGCGACAAAGATCCCCTGAACTTTCAGTTTGTGACAAATACCCCTAACCGTATGGAATGCATTAAATTACTAAAATACCTATATAAACTTTTCTTTTTTTATCTTTTCCTCATCCTTTTCTCTTAAGCCCTAATTAACTCAAAAATACCTTCATTTTTTCCAAACAAAACCAACTAAAATAACAAGAATCATTTCATTGATATGGAAAAACAAGTTTCTTAAAATATGAAAATTGTTATATTTATCAAAAATATAATAATTATTATATTTATAAAAAATAGCAAGAATCATTTCTTAAATTATTATTTCATTTCATTGACATGAACGTCTCTCTTCGGCCTTCATCTTAAAATATAAACCTTAAATTTATATTTATCAAAAAGAAACCTTTACTATTTCATCTGAATATTGAATCCATACAGAAATCTACAAGGATGCATTGGGATAACTGATAGGATTTTAATATTATATTTAAAAAACTAATCAAATCATTAATTAAAATACTAATTTTGCATTAATATTTTACTTTTAAATAGAACATAAATATATTTTAAATTAATAAAATTAACTTAAATTGTATACCAATTATTTTTAATATTAAAACTAATTTTATGAATAATTTTTATTCACTTTATTAATTTCTATTATTTCTCAAATGCATTAATTTGTATTATTTTTCGTAATTTGGTGATTGGTGGAAAGGCTAATGATGGTTCAGCCCAGGGTCAGAATTTCTATGCCCAAAGTACAATTGGGGTAGGTGCCAGCTCGGAATTGATGCTAACTCATAGGCAGGCATTAGTGTATAGAGTGGGGACTTTTGACATTTTGAATATTTATATCTCTACAATGGAATTCAGAAATCTGCATTAGGCCTGTCCATACTTTTCCGTAGTTTTTAAAATAAATTTAAACATGCCCTGGGTTTTGGTTAACAAACTTAAATATACCTTGAGTTTTGCAAAAGGACTTCTACATTCTATTTAAAAAACATTAATGACAGTTAAGTATGAGGTTATACGGCCTATTTTTTTTTTTTTACCATTTTGCCATTTTCTATCCTATTAATAATGAATAATGTCTACAAATTGATTTGGATTGGAAAATAGAGATAGTTGCCACCAGTTCAACACACCAACTCCTCCATATGCTAGGTTGCATAGCTTGGCCCTCACATCCCCTTCTCCAGCATAAGCAAAAGGCCCCCTCCCCCTGGGCACACCTAGCCCCACCCGGCCCACATGCTAGGCCACCCCTGCCTTGCTTACTCTACAGCACATCCCACTGTTTGAAAAAATACCTCAATGAGGCTAGCAATCAAATCTTGGAAAACTGAGTACTTTGTATGTGTTTTGAATTTGGGTTGCAACAAAATGATGCCACCATGCTAGGCCACCCCACCCCTACCCAGATGCTAAGCCACCTACTGCCCTGCTTACCCGCCAATCCACCCCTACTGTTCGAAAAAATGCTTCAATGAGGCCAACAATCAAAGCTAGGAAATACTGTTTGATACGATTATAAAATCTCTTATCAGGAATCTTCAATCCAAAACAAAATCTTCAAAAGAATCTAAAATTATAAATTTTACCAAAAGATTCCACGGAGAAGTTAAGCCAAACTGGTAGCACTCTTGTCTCTTGAGAAAACCTCCTCTACCAGTGCGTTTCGCGTGGAATTACCATCCACCGTGAAAAGCGAAACTACTGATTTTTTAATTGATATTCTATTATAAAATCTCCATCTGTGGTTCTGCACTGTTCGTAAATCTATCATATGTCCGGCATCCGGAGTGCCGACGGATAGCAGTCAACACTCACCAGCACAGTGTGTACTTGAAGATGCACGTGTCTGCAGAAATGTTGAGTCACCAATCTCCACCGGATCAACGTGTCGRCGGCAACGTAACCGTTCAAAATCCACCGCCTGCTGCCGCCTCCGGAGCCAATCAGAACAGCGTGTCGTCGTCAGTGGCTGGCTCCGAGGAGGTATGTCACTGGATAGTTCTCTCAGTTCTGACTTGCGCCACTTGTGAAACAAAAATACTGGTTTTAACACCCTTAACCTATAATATCATGCTAACAGAATCAGAAAATCATCAAAATCTCTGATTCCTCTGCACCATCTAAAAGGTTGATTTTGCTTTGAACGATTGCACGCTAGTTTAATTGGGATTCTGCAAGTTGGGCAGACCGGCAGATCCCTGGCGTCGGAGGACAATCGGTCTCCGATTACGTAAGGTATCGTTTGGGTGTGGGAAATGCGTCGAAGTGAAAGAATATAAACCTTCAGGAGATAAACCCTCTTTCTGGATTTTTTTTTTCAAAAAATTTTCTTCTGGAGAAAGGAGACAGAGGTAAAAGTTTGCTTGTGCTATGAAATTTCTTCTGTTCTTGCTTCAAAATTCAAACAACTTGGAACTTGGAAGGAGTGGCTATGATGACCCAAACGGCACTTCTACTTTCGGTGGCTTTCCAATCTAATGGTTAGGGACCCTTAGATTGGAATTCAAGGATCTACCGACGAATAACCGATCTCTTGGATGTGGTCATATTATGCGTACGCCAATGGCGCATTTTAAAGTCAACCTCTCTGCAATGACAGATTGTGGCGCGGACAGGTGGTCCTATTGATGGTTTTTTTTCCCTATATTTACCAAAAGAAATATTACCAATTTCCTCCCCACCATCCCACTACGCCCCCCCCTCCCCATCTCTCTCTCTCTTCTATATTTAATGAATGAAAGAGCTTTTATCTTTCCTTCTTCCTGGGCTCCAGTTCGTCGCTAGAGCTGAAGTTCGAATACCCCCCCCCCCCAATCACTGAATTTCCTTGTAGGAAAGGTTTCGTAATGATGATGGTGAACTTGCATGGCTAAGTATGCATCCCTGTGCTACCAATGGTTAGTCGATTCTTCTTCATTAACGATGTTCTTTGCTGTTAAATTTACTTTGTTGCTTTTCTTAATGTATCAGAGGGAAAGATTATGTCGGAATATATATTAAGCTATGTAACCCAGATTTTGTCTTACCTTACAACCCCAAAAGAAATATTTGTTTCGGTTTAAAATTGGGAAACTTTTACTGCAATCTGGTGTGACATCTTCTCTGCAAATCTGCTAAAGAAACCTTCTTGCATTAAAACTTGATCTCGCGTGCAGGAAGGTATGGGGAGAATGTAGTTGAATAAAATGCGAGCTTTTCTCTCATTTGGTAGTTCCAAAAGAAGGAAAAGGACTAATTTGACTTGTAATTTGTATAACAGTGGAGACCTTCATTGCACGAATTATCTAATTGTAGATGGTTTTGCAAATTGGGAAAACCCCACAATTTATGGTGATCATAATTTGATATTGCATGCAGAAATTGAGGAGCACAGCAAACCGGCGGGAGTCTGTTCCAACGGGTGAGTTAAATGGTGAAGCGTATGTGAACATTGGTGAGGAAGCTCCTCCTAGGTTGGAAAAGTTCAAGAAAGTTTCGGTAATACCTCTCATATTCCTCATCTTCTATGAGGTATCTGGGGGGCCGTTCGGTGCTGAAGACAGTGTTGGTGCGGCTGGGCCTCTTCTGGCCTTACTTGGGTTTCTGGTATTCCCCTTCATTTGGAGTGTTCCTGAAGCCCTAATAACTGCAGAAATGGGTACCATGTTTCCAGAGAATGGGGGCTATGTGGTTTGGGTTTCATCAGCACTGGGACCCTTTTGGGGTTTTCAGCAAGGTTGGATGAAATGGCTAAGTGGGGTTATTGACAATGCTTTATACCCAGTTCTGTTTCTGGACTATGTGAAGTCAGCTATCCCAGTTTTAGGTGGGGGTTGGCCTAGGGTTCTCGCGGTGCTGGCCCTGACTCTGGTCCTCACTTATATGAACTACAGGGGGTTAACAATAGTAGGCTGGACGGCTGTGTTCTTGGGGGTTTCTTCACTTATCCCTTTTGTTGTTATGGGATTCATTGCAATCCCAAAATTGGAGCCCTCAAGATGGTTAGTGGTAAACCTGCACAAAGTGGATTGGCGTTTATACTTGAATACTCTGTTTTGGAATTTGAACTACTGGGATTCAGTTAGTACTCTTGCAGGAGAAGTTGACAACCCAAAGAGAACCCTCCCCAAGGCTCTCTTTTATGCTCTCATATTGGTCGTTTTTGGGTACTTTTTCCCTCTTCTAATTGGAACTGGAGCTACTCCACTCAATCGTGATATGTGGAGCGATGGCTACTTCTCGGATATTGGGAAAATGTTAGGTGGGGTTTGGTTGAGAACATGGATCCAGGGGGCTGCTGCATTGGCAAACATGGGGATGTTTGTGGCAGAGATGAGCAGTGATTCTTTCCAGCTTCTAGGGATGGCCGAACGAGGGATGCTTCCTGAGTTCTTTGGCAATAGGTCTCGTTATGGAACCCCTCTGGTTGGAATCTTGTTCTCTGCCTCTGGTGTGATTTTACTGTCATGGTTGAGCTTTGAAGAGATTGTAGCTGCAGAGAACTTTTTGTATTGTTTTGGAATGATTTTAGAATTCATCTCATTTGTTAAGTTGAGGATACAAAACCCAACAGCTTCACGGCCATTTAAGATACCTGTTGGAACAATTGGAGCCATTTTAATGTGTGTTCCTCCAACCATATTGATCTGTGTGGTTTTAGCTATTGCTTCTCTTAAGATCATGGGTATAAGCCTTCTTGCTGTGCTTATTGGGTTTCTTCTGCATCCTGGTCTCAAGTATGTTGAGAAGAAGAGATGGATGAGGTTCTCCATAAGTGCTGACCTTCCAGATCTTTATGCAGCAACTAATAATGAAAGCATAGAGACCATAAGGAATTGAATGAGTCACTGCATTCAGCATGTAGAGACGCAACAGTCCAGAGTGCCATAGTATGATAACAAGAAATGCTTTTGAATGGTGTACTTAACACCAAAAGTTCCAGGCCGCTTCAACCTGCTAATTCCAAACAACATCTCTGCTCTCTGGGGAAACCAAACAGTTGGTGGTAACATTTCTTCTCCAACTTTGTTATTACTTGTTAGAGATTAGGCTATTTTGCCTTGATTGCCGACTTTAATCGAGTGACTGAAACATTTTTATATGTTTATCATTATGTAACCAAGAGCCATATATGTTGTCATGATCTCCAGTAGTAGGGGCATAAGGAAAATAGTTGGGAGTTGGAATTCAAGAAAAAAAAAGTTATCTTGTTTGTATAAAGAGTTGTTATTAGATTTAATCTATTATATGCATTTATGTGTCAGTATATGATCATTCTGCTTATTATTTTTTGTAGTTCTTCATATCTCATCCATTAACCCTGCAAAAAAGAAAATAATATGAACCTTCTTAGTTTTACAGAAGAAAATGCTTTATGTCCAAAATAAGAAGGAAATTTGCAGAATCTCATAGTTTGTAACCAACAGATAGTATGAAGTATCATATACCAACTGTGAAATCTGAATCATGGAGCATAATACCGTTGACAGCCAAAAAACAAAAAAGTACAAAATCTATTTGAGTTCATCAAGTGCCATTGAAGTTGCTAAAACTAACCTGTACCAAGTCTTCAGTTACAAGCTGCATGCTTCTTTCTGATGCATCTTTATACTTCTAGMACTTGTTTAACGTTTAAAATGTATATTGATTCTCTTGTAATACTTCAAAATGGTGCATTACTGATACGAAGAAATTGTAGGCTAAACCAAATTGCCTTGGATTATTTCACAGTGACATTTATCTAACTCATGTTTTCACTAGTAGGTTAAAACCAAATTGAAGCAACAAATCATGGCCACATTTATTTACACAAATTAAAGGTTAGCTTGATTGTCCTAGTTAATAATTGGTTCGGGTTCCGGGTCTATTTTGTGGAATAATCGGTTCGGAACTGATACATCCTGCCCCAAACCAAACCCGACACAGTGACAGGTTTAACTATAACTAGCACAGACTAAAGAAATAAATTAGGCGTGCAACTCGGGTTGGAATGAGTTTGTATATAAATTATGAAGTATACTGCTTCGGGCATGTGATAAAAATTGCACGATGAGCCCTCCAACAGGTCCTCTCATTGGACCTTTGTCAACCACTTGGAAATGTGGAGTAATCCTTTGCACAATTTTCCATTTTTAAGATTATTTATTTATTTTATTAATATATTATTGTTTGTTATCATTTTACTAATATTTTATTATTTTATTAATATCAAGGTTAGGTGCATTAGGGTTTTTTTTTTCTAGAATTACTTTACTTTTTTGAAAACCTTTGGAATGGGCAATTGCCAATTGGATGGTTGGTAAGGTTTCCGGCTGATTGTAGTGGATGGAGACTTGCGATCAAATCCCAACCTGCACCTGGGTTGGGGGTTACGGGTTTGGGGGATTGGCTACTCTAGCCCCATGGAGTTAAAAGAGAAACTCTGGAACAGGAGGCAGCTCGGATCTACTACCCAGGTCTCACTATAATGTTCCCCTGTATTTGCACGTTACTATTTATGGTATATAAAGTTGCAGTATTATGTGGGGTAGGAGATCTGAATTGTTATGACAATTTTTTCCATCCTCGTGGGAGATCTGATGGAGTTGGGAATGAGAATGAAGTCCCTACCATGTCCAACCCAATTAAATATTAAATAATATTTAAAATATTATTTATATTTTAAAATTTTCTTTTATTTAAATAAATTTATTTTTTAAAATACGTTAATTAAAAAAATTCCGGATTTTGGGTCCTTGTGGGGAACCTGTCTTTATCGGGAAATGGGAATGGAAGACAACTTTTATCTCTGGTGAGTATTGAGGTTGGGGACGGGGATTTATTTCATAATCGGGGTTGGGGATAGGGAATATGATCCCTGCCCCATTCCTGGTCCAATTCCAAGTGTCTATTCTGAGCAACTAAATGGACCTGAAGAGCTTGTTTGGTATGTTGTTGTTTTTAAAAGAAAATAGTGACACTTAGGCCTCATTCACTTGTATCTTTGTAACTTTTTTGGGTAACATTTACACAGGCAAGTGCATTTATCCATGTTCTTTTGATTTCCAGGATTCTCATATTAGTAACAAAATGACATTTTTACCCATAAAAACCTAGTATAAAATGGGCAAAGTTGTTACATTATACTTTATAAAATTTTCCCTAGGTGGGAAAGTTGTTTACCCACCTGGGAGATGGGTAAGTTTTACCCAGGGAAGTGGAGTTTATTTTATCGTGGGGCCCATTAGTAAATGCAAAAAGAACATTGTGAGGTTGGACAATGGAAAAAAAAAATACCCATTGACCAACTTTTCCAAACTTATTTATCGGTGGTAAACGAATGGGGCCTTAAGGATCACATCCGTGTTTTGAACTCAACACTTTAGATGTTTGGTTGGGTCTATTTTTCACCAAAATTCCCATGCAACAGCCATGCATTTGATATCACGAAGATGGCAATACCTGCAACAATCATGCCATTACCCCCAACAATATGCATATGTGGATCCTACATGTTTGTTGGACATGGCACTTGTAGGCTTTGTTCAGGTGGATTGTGCAAGTCCGGATCACCTACCAACAAAACACATTCCAACCCTCTACCAATATGATCTCACACCATACATCTCATACATGGAAGGTCTCACTTCTTGGTGGGTCCCAATCTCATGGTGAGATGTGTGATGTTAGATCATGTTGGTAGAGGGTTGGAATGTGTTTGTTGGCAAAAAGATCCCAATTCGTATCTTGTATGGTGAGTGGCATGGTTTCAAAATTGGACCGAACCAAACAGTCAGATCAGAAAAATTGAGAACTGGTCGGGTGGTTGGTTCCGTTTTACCCTAGAACCGTTATTTCGTCAAAAACTATTGATTTAGTTAGCAAACTGCTGATCCGATCAACGGTTATGTTGTTTTTTATTTTTTATTTTTTGCCAAAATGGGTTATTTGTTCGGTTCGAATGGTTGGATCGTTTGACCCGAGAATCGAACCCCTGACCTGTTCGTTGTCCATTTTGATTTTAAAAACCTTGGTGAGTGGTGATCCCAAACAAATAAAAATAAATAAATAAATTAAGTCCCTAATGCCCCAAAATTTTTCTTTTATTAAATCTCATCGATGTAAAAGTCCACCACTAGTTCAATTTTGTTGACATTTGTTTGCAATGTAAATCAAGATCAATGTAATAAAACTTCACTCCCRGTTTAGATTTATTGGCATTTAGATGGAGTGGAGTTTTACATTGTAAATCGATGTAAAACCTCATTTATAGTAGAGTTTTACATTGATCTATATCAATAAAATTGATGTAATATTACATCGACAATCAAATTTTTCAAAGCTCAACAATTCAAAGATTTTAAATTATTCGGTATAAAACTCCATCAATAGACTTTTACATCGCAAACAAACCACAGTCTAAGGAAATTTCTTTTGCAATAATTAGAGAAGTATGATGTTTGACCTCTCATTTCTCCTCTTGCTATGTTCATTTTTTTCCTCTCCAGTTAACTGCAATGGAAGTCAATTTAAGCAATGTCCATTATTCTTGGTTTGCAATATCTGAGTAGTAGGAGGCAACATCAACATGAATAATATTTTGAAATCTCATTTTGCCGTACAACTATACAAGTTACGGTCTCTTTACATCACTAACACAACCAAAAGAAACAAATTCCTTATCAAAATTTCTCTTTCATATTAGATAGGGGTGGCTTTGAGCTGAGTCGAGTCGAATACTTTGCTATTCGAGCTCAGCTCGGTTCAGAAGCTCACAAGTTTGAGCTCAAGCTCGACTCCAAGCCAATTTTTCTAAAAAATAAAAATTATAATATAAAAATATTTTTTTTTATTTTACATACAAAAAATTAAGAATTATGAAAATTATTTATTATTATACATATAAAAAATAATTATAAAAATTATACATAAAAAATAAAAATATTATATATAAAAAATATTATTATGTATAATAAAAATATTATATGTATGTATGTATGTATAATAAAAAATATTTATTTATTATATCAGGCTCGATTAGTAAATAAGCCTATATATATCGGGCTCAAGCTCGGCTCGAAACTTGATTTAAACCAAACCAAGCTTGAATCATGAGAAACTTGGCTCATAGCCACCCCTAATATTAGATAAAAAGGAGATATGATGCATTGGGCATAGGATAGATTACAAATAAATTGATAAAAACCTGAGATTGCATCATGCAAGAGGCATTTGGCATATGATGAGTATGAGCCACAAGAGTATATGATGCACTGGGGGTGCACGTGTCGCGCAATGCACTGAATCATTTTTTTATCCGAATTATACCTTTTCAATTTTAAAACGTGTCTCTTCAAATTTAAATTTAATTTTTTAAATAAGTTTTCTTTTTTTCGTGTCTCTTCTTCCTCATTGTGCCTCTTTGAACAGGTGCACTATTCTGAAGAGGCTAAAGGACACATCTGTGTCAATTTAGGTCTAAGAACACTYTATAAGAAGAGTGTTGGCCGACCCAGTCTACACACACACCATTTTCGACATTTTTGTTTTCTCTGAGAAATCTGAGCATCAATCTTGTGTGATTCGCGGAAGTCTGGTAAGTGAGTGCATGTCTACTAGTGCCCTGTGGACAGTTTTATCTTGGCGATCGGTTTGCAATCACCCGGCTGCACCATAGGGGGCAAATACGGTTTTAAGGAGAGTGACCAAGTGGCACGACTCAGCCCTCCATCTTCTTGCAATTCCTAGTTTCGAGTTCCTACAACTTCACACCACTGCAACTTCGGTTTGGAGCGCAATTACCGATAAGTTCCATCTGCTCTCTATTTACTATTTTTACAACATTCTTAAAACCGTATTTATGGAGCCTATCTCTGCTAACCCCTTCATGAGGAACCAGATATTGTCAACAGTTCRTGATTTCTCCAAAATTGAACCCTTCAATGGAACTAACTACAAGCGTTGGAGACAATGCTTATTGTTTGTCTTAGAACAGTTAAGGATAGCTTTCGCTTTGACTGAACTGAACTCATTAAATATGGAGGAACCAGCTCATTCTGTTGTTGCAGAACATTGGACTACAGCCGACCACCTCTGCACCAACCATATCCTAAACTGTTTGTCCAATGAACTGTACAATGTTTATTCTTCCTATAATTGTGCCTATGAAATCTGGAATGCATTAGACACTAAGTATGTTCTAGAAAATGCTAGAAACAAGAAATATGTCATTGCCAACTTCCTACACTTCACCATGAAAGAAGACATTGATGTGTCTGCTCAAATAGA